ATTTCTCTCAGTGTTGGGATTAAACCCTCACATGTTAGGCAAGAACTTTACCACTGAGCTACCCACTTACCATCTTTTCTTATTTTATGTGAATTTCCAGAATTGGGGGAGGGGGGGTGTTCAAAAAAAATTACAGATATTTGAGATAGAAGGTGAAAAGTAATAGGATACAGTCTCAGTCTCTTTACTGAACTGGCTTTGTTTTTTCATGTCTATTTGATTTCACTTTGGTGTAGTCTTGTTCCATATATTATTATAATATATGGATTTAGAAGTTTTGTCTTATAATAACCAAGAACTTTCAGAAGAATCAGAAAATTTCTAAGTAAAAGAAATCTATTTATTTAATACTACACTGCCTATACCAGAAAGAAAATAAATGATTCTGAAAGCCAGAAGAGAAACCCACTACTTTGATTAGAGTCAATGGCCCACATCAATGTTTACAGCAGCTCAAGTCACAACAGCTAAGCTATGGAACCAACCTAGGTGCCTTGCAACAGATGAATGGATAAAGAGAATGTGATCTCTACACACACACACACACAATGGAATATTACATATTACACAGCATAAAGAAAATGAAATGATGGCATTTGCCAGTAAATGGGTACCAACTGGAAACTAGGGCTAAGTGAAATAAGCCAATCCCCCCCAAAACAAAGGTTGAATGATTTCTCTGATATAAGGAGGCTGATTCATAGTGGTGCTGGGAGGGGATGCATGGGAGATAAGATGAATTCTAGATAGGACAAAGGGGAGGTAGGCTGGGGAAGGGAGGGGGCAGAGGGGTAAAAAAGATAGTGAAATGAGATGGACATCATTACCCTAAGTACATGTATGAAGACACACAAATGATGTGAATATACTTTGTATACAACCAGAGATGAAAAACTTGTGCTCTATGTGTATAATATGAATTGTAATGCATTCTGCTGTCATATAAAAAAAAGCAAAACTAGGCAGTTTTGGTTAAATTACGTAGTCAAAAAAATGTGAAGAGGCAGGATGATTTCAAGTTTAAAGCTGGCCTCAGCAACTTGGCTAGACCCTATCTCAAAAGACGCTCAATTCTTGAACAAGAGTAAAATCATTTTTTTTTTAAACTATTTAGGAAACTGTTGTGTGCTTCACTAGAGAGGACACATCCACCACATCTCAGGGTTGCTTTCTAGATAAACAGAAGTTCCTAGATTGAAATCTTATCAAAAGCCATGATTATAATTTTATATAATTTGAGATATATCAAAATTACAACTACCATGAGGCTGGGGGTTATAACTCAGTGGAAGAGCACACACTTTGGCTCTGGGTTCAATCCCTGGCACTAAGGAAAAATTACAGTTTCTGTGACACTCATTCCAAAGTGTATAAATACCATACATAGGTCCTCATTATTCTTAAAAATCCACTGAAATGGAAGAATGACAAAGAAGTTCTTATAATTCTGAGAAAGCCTACACTACACAGATATATCAATAGCCTAAGCACTTGATTTGACAGCTATGCCTCCATTTGTATTTTTGTGACAAAACTCAAAATAATCCTGACTTAAATTTGTCTGATTCTGGGAATTTTCAGATATGGTTGGCCCCATTATGCATGAGTTCTGCATCTATGGATTCAAGCAGCCATGGATGGAAAATTTTTGAGGGAAAAAAAATGCATTTGTACTAAAAGTGTATAATTTTTTTCCTTGTCATTATTTAATAACCAATAGTTTAGCAACTATTTACACTGTACTAGGTATAAGTAATCTAGGTATGATTTAAAGTATACAGGAGGTGATATGCCTAGGTTGTACTTGAACATCTGCAGATTTTGATATCCGTGAAGTGGGAAGGTGGGAGGGGTCTTGGAACCAATCACTAAGGAATGACAAGGTATGACTGTATGTATATCCAATATAATACCTCGTTTTCATTGCAAAACTTTTGGTGACTCCTTTATCTTTTTAGGACTTTTTTTTTTTTTTTTTTTACTATTTAGGTTAGGTACACAACATGTTAATTAGTCTCTTCCTTTCCTAACTCACTGTGCTGTCTGATCATCTCCATTAAAGGCAATGACCTCAAGCGTTCTCTTCAAATATTTTCTCCTCTTTAAAGGACAGTGTTTTTTTATTAGAAACAACCTTCTTAAGTAAACACCATGCCCACATTCCCCCACCTTCTGAAGAAGTGTTTCCCTAGTACATCTACTAGTATTTTTAAACAGTGCCTCTAACATATGAGGTCCTATCCCCTTCTGCTTTCTCTGAAGGGTTTACTTATCCTATCCATGGTTCAGATACAGAGATAAGGAGCATAGGATCAGGAAGCCCATTACCAAAATCTGAATCTGGCTTCTGTTATTTAAAATTTGTGTGATTTGGAGAAAATTATTCAAGTTTTTTTGTTGTTGTTATTTCTTTTTCTTTTCTTTTTTGTAGCAGGATTGAACCAGGTACCACTTAACCACTAAGCCACATTCCCAACCCTTTTTAGTTTGAGACAGGGTCTCACTAAGTTATTTAAGGCCTTGCTAAGTTGTTGAGGCTGGCCTTGAATTTACAATCCTCCTACCTCAGTCTCCCAAGTCACTGTGATTACAGGTAAGCACTACCACACCTAGGCTCAAGTTTTCTAATATACAAAAGTGTGAGTGATAACACCACCTAATAAATAGCCATCATGAGGACTAAATGAGACAGTGCGATGTGACTTTTGCAGAATGCCTGGAATAGAAATAGAACTTGTTACTATCATTATTATTAATAAATACCTCTTATCACCATTTATTTAAACATGCTCAAGTCTATGGAGGTGGCTTTTTGCATTTCAATTCTTTCCTTACCCATAGCCTTCTCTTCATGCTTTTTCCCTGTCATTTCTAACCCTCCAGCTGTATTTTTTTTTTTAAATTTTTTTTTGTTATCGTTGTAGATGGACACAATACCTTTATTTTATTTATTTATTTTTACATGGTGCTGAGGATCAAATCCAGTGTCTCACACGTGGCTAGGCAAGTTCTCCATCACTAAGCCACAATCCCAGCCCCACAGTTATGTTTCTTAGCACTTTGTGAAATTATTTCCAGCAAAGTTGTCTCCTTACTAAATACAGCTTTTAGTAAGCATGCCAACTAATTTATATGCAGAGTACAAAACATTTTAAAAATAACACAGTTGAAATAAAACATACGTAATTATTTTAACACCCACATACCCTCGATTAAAACATAACTTCAAATGTAAAGACTCCCATTTTCTTATACTATTACATCAGAAAATGTAACAAGAAAATAAATCAATGTTCTAAAAAAAAAATCAAAACCCTGTTAAGACACAGAATGTTTTATCTTTTACTAATTTCTTCAGTATAATTTAAATGGTATACTTTTAAAGGAATATTTGTGAATCATCTTTTTGATCATAAATACAAAGCAAATATTACAACTTTTATTTGAAAATTTGGTAATTAAAAAAAATTACAAAGTAAAACCAAAAATACATGCATAAATTTGCCTCTAAAAATCTTAAGAGTTAAATTAAATGCCACATATAAAACAGATTCTGAGAATAAAAAAATATATTTATATAGTAACTAAAGGCTTAAGGAATTTTTATTAAGGAATAAGGAATAAATTTGTGACAAGAAAATTTTAATCACAAATTTTGCCTTGTTCATTTTTAGCTTTTAACTTTCAGAATTCAAGTTTTCAATCCTCCCAAACAAAAAGAAGTATGGAACAACAGAAACATTCCCACAAACTGGCATTATCTTCAGGAGTAAAAAGCCACTATTAATTCTATGAGCACTACTACTCAAAGAATCTTCCCCAGCAACCAATAGGACTACTCTCCCACACTTAGCAGTCCTTTTCCAAAGGTTGTTGTTTGAGAAAAATCTACACTGCAGTTGCTATTATTGGTAGTATCAGAGCCAATATTTTGGATAGAAAAAATGGCTAGGTTGTAAAGGAGAAAGTCAACTTAACCACTGGTTATTGCTACCTATGCCCTGATCCAAGTACCCAGCATGGAGATAAGTGTGGGGGACAAAAAAATGATCAGAAATCCAGGCCAGAGGAAGAAACACTTTTCCCTATTACATACAAAGGTGCATAATAAGCTAGCTTGTGGTTTTGGACCTACCTGAAAAGTAAAAAGAGGCTGTCGGACAGTACCTGATTGGGGAAGGTAAAGAAATTAACTTCCACTTAGTACCTATTCTATACTTAGTAATATTCTTGGTACCTAAAGAAGTATTACTAGATTATTTCCTTTAATATCTTTTTCTCTATCATAAGGGGCATTATTATTCCCCATAATATATATGAGAAAAACTGCAAATTCAACTTAACTGCAAAATAAGAGGAAGGAAAAAAACCTGCAGACTCAAGTAAATTACCAAATAACTGAATCTGAGTTTTTCTCAGGTTTGTCTTTAGTGAAAAAGGTAGAGATGTGTTGAATGTGCCAGACCTGCAGTAAGAACGATTTTTCTTCGAGGTGGTGGGGGGGTGTTCCATAATTTACTTCCTCCTAGGTATTTTCAGGATAGAATAAATATCTATTAAAAGGTAGGTTAAGAACTCCATAGTGTGGAGTCTAATATTCCCATGAGGTTGGCCATATATAATAAATTTTATGTGTTCTCCCCCAGCCTTTTTTTAAAAAAGAAATACCATAGCTTATTAAGACCCCAAACATCTGTCTTAGCAGCAGAATGAAACACAATCATGTCATGATTAACAAAACTAGAAATCTGAGATACTCACTTGAGAACCAAAACTTTAGTAACTACTGGCTTACAGTTACTGGCCTCCTTATGGATTAATGCCTAAATGAGGCCATCATACAACACACGTTTTGAAATAAAATGTCTCTAAATGAAACTGAATAGAAATTAACATCATGATGCTCCAGTTTCCTTAAAAGAATAAGGACTATTTTCAAGATCACATTTTACCAATTCGTAAACATTACTCTTTGTGCTCTAATTAAAGTGTCTCCTCACCTGAGGGCGTGTTCATCAAATTCTGCTGCACCGGTGGACTGGTTGGGGCTGGAACATTCATCTGAGATAGCATGGCCTTCCTGGGGTCTTGCCATGTTGTAGTCTGATCAATGTGACTGAGACAAAACAAACCACTGCATTAGATTAACAAATACAATGCCCTAAACCCAACAAATCCCCTATCAAAACAGAGTAGATATGAGGACTAATAACTAATTATTTCACTGCTCTCACTCTTCCTTTGCAACGTTTCTTCATCAGAATTTGCCTCTTAAATTTTTTTAAGTGTAAGATATGAAAAAGTTATGCCTGGAATTTTAAGTGAAGAAAAATAATTCCCACCTAGTAGACAATTATTTCTTACTTCTAACTTAAAGATTAAAATGCAGTTTGTAAATCAAGCATCTACAACAGTAATCATATAACTAAAATTCAAGATTCACAAGAGACTTGCCCACTTTTTTCTCCTAGAGCTAAGAATGTCAAATAACATATCATTTTTAGGCCTAAAACCCCTTTTTAAAAGTACAACACAACAAAAACAAAACCCTGAAAGTCAAATTATAATGAATACTCCAGTTTTAAAACATAACTGAAAACTTCATCTATAGGTTTTAATTTTCTCCTATGATTTGAGTAACTACGTATGTCTACACAAAATTTTTGTTACTTGCTAAACATTTCCTCCATATTGAGAACTTACTGTAAAATATATGTATCCCCATAAAATTGGGGATGAAAACAGCTAAAGTCTATGAAAGATAAAAACTACAAGACATCTAGCAGAGTGACTGGTATATGGACTTTCAATAAATATTAGTTTTATTTTTCCAGCAAAGGTTCATTGTTTCAGTGAAACAAAACTACAAACAAAACTAAAACTACCTAAAAATTTATTCCAAATAATAGCCAGAAGAGTGCATGAACTTCTCTTTAGAAACACATTTTCTGGGGCTGGGGTTGTGGCTCAGCAGTAGAGAGCTCAACTAGCATGGGCAGGGACCCGGGTCCGATCCTCAGCACCATATTGAAAAAAAAAAAAAAAAAAAGGCATTGTGTTGTGTCCACCTACACCTAAAAAAAAAAAATATTAAAAAAAAAAGAAAAAGAAACACATTTTCAATAGCAAAAATTTTGAGGCCAGTAAATGTCCAATGATAGGAGATCAGTTAAATAAATATGTTTACATATGATGACTACTTTGCAGCTATTAATATTTTATAATATTTAACAGCATGAAAAACATTCATAATTCCGTTTTTAAAAGGTTATATAATAGTATGTAAAACATAAGGCTAATTGCTAAAAAGAATACACAGAATACATGCATATGAAAAAAAAAACAAAGAGTACATGTATGTAGTTAAAGCGTATAGGAAAAAAACATTAAAATGTTTTATCAGTGTTTATTTTCAATAATAAAATCATATTACAATTCTGCTATGCTGGAGGTGTAGGTCAGCAGTAGAGTGTTGCCTAGCATGTGCGAAGTCCTACATTCAACATGTGGCACAGTAAAAAACAAAATTAAGTAGAAAATAGACCACTTTGCTTTGCTAGGGTTCTCTATTATTAAATAATTATGAACTCATTATTTTTAAAATGGGAGAGAGAAATGGAGTCATTTTCCAAAAGGAAATCTCAAAATCATTTGTAGTTATTAAAATTTTAAATCTGAGTTCTTACTTCTTGAGTCATCCCATGACAAACAACCAAGAAAATCCTTAAGAAATGACATCCTGTGTCTTAACTATATGGAAATAGAACTGGAATTCTACCTTATCATTAGCATAGTAAGAAAGGGTCATTTACTCAGAATAGGCCTTAGATTTGGAGAAGAGTTCTTTTAGCTTCTCAGCAAGCAGAAAGGGGATGAATTAGGAAGGGTCTATATACTTAGGGATGACAATGGTACCTGCCACTTTAAGGCTATTACAGAACTATAAATATTAAGAAAAATATTTATTTATTTAGCGAAGTATGCAATGTCTCCTCCCAGCAACTCTTTTTTCAGTGTCTGTATCTGTTTTATAGCAGCAGCACTAGCTTTTGTTCAGGTCTAGACAATACAGGACATACTTTATTCAAGTTTTGTTATCTAAACACTTTATTCTAAAAGACCAAGTTTTCATCAAGCTCAGTAAAGGTGTGTTCCTCTTCCCTTTCAATCTTCCATGTGAGCCAAGTCACTTAATCTTAACAAATTGTAGGAACTTTTTTTGCTTCAGAAATGGAGAGCAAACCTAAGGCCTTGTGTATGCTAGTTAAGCTCCACCCCCGAGCTAAACCCACAGGCTCCATCCTCTTTTTAAGTGATTTTTTTTCAATTCTTCTGAGAGACTCAGAATGACACATCATCATCCTCACTATTGAACTCTAGTCCTAAGGAAGTAAGATTTCAGGTAGCATTTAATGGTTTCCCCACCAATTTGATGGCAATGACAAAACTGTCACCTTTCCTAAGATCAGAACCCCTATGTGTTGAAGGTCCAGGTTTGAGTTTTACAAGACTTACATCTCACAGAAGGATAATAAACTCTTTTTAAATATTTCTATATACTGTATCCTTAATTAACTAGTGGGATCATGCAAAGTCATTGTTTGAATGATTTATTTAAGAATTTCTGCCTTTTGGGGTTCCTACATTTTGCTAAGTCTTCCAATATGAAAGACCAAATTATACAATGTGAAAGATACAAAAATCAGTAGGGAAAGGCTGCTGCTGGACACAGACCTTGGTCCAAGTATAGCTGTGTGAGTTTTATCAGTCAGTTTTATTGTTTCCCAGATAGAGTGAGATGACAGGGTTTAACTTGGTCATATATCCAATGGCCTTTTCTTTCCAAAAACAGTAGCAGAGAATAATTTATTTACATATCTTGAAAAGAATGTAGAATTTCACATTTATCAATTAGACTGTTCTTAGGAACAAGATAAATTAATCCTTCTAATTATTTTCTATTTTTAACTCTGAAAATACTGATTTATAAGACAAGTACCTGGAGTGGGCTTAGACAACCTATGTTGCTTTAAAAAAAAAATCCTTTATGTAAATCAACAGTGTTGTCAACTATACATACTTAATATCAATCACTGATACTTTGGAAAGATCTGCTATTACTTCTTGAAGCTCCTCATGTAATCTTTCCCCAACTGAACCACAAAGAACTATTTGACTTTTTAAAGACCCACGTGGCTACCTTTTGTGGAAAAGTAAGATAGACATATATTAAAACTCCAGCTCTGTCAATGACAATCTAGATTGTGCAGGCAAGATTTATTAATCTGCTTCATATTCAGTATGATGGGACTGATTTTGCTGAATGTGTTGGTACACACCTGAAATCCCAGCAACTTGGGAGGCTAAGGCAGGAAGATTACCAAGTCTGAGGTCAATCTAAGCAATTTAGCAAGACACTGTCTCAAAATAAAACCCAGAAGGACTAGAGGTATAGCTCCATGGTAAAGTGCCCCTGGGTTCAATCCCCAGTACCAAAGGAAAAAGAAGGGGGAGGCCTCACATTATTTCCTTACTTCCTAGGGTTATGAGGATTAAATTCAGTAACATTTATAAAACCTACTAGGACTATGGCTCCTGGTATACAAAAGTCCCTCAAACAGTTTTCCTGGCTTCATTCCTTTGCTAGCTTGACATTTGGAATAGGAAAAACTGTGGTGAATGGGCCAAAAATATGTTTAAGAGTTCATTCAAGGGAGGATGAGAGATCTAGGGCTTTAAGAGCTTTAAAAGGAATTTGGTTTTCATCTGGTAGATGATAAAAAGATGCCTTAAGTAGACACATTAGATTTTGATGCAGGGAACAGAACAAAGTGTTTCTAAATGATTAGTTCAATCTACACAAAGCTATCCCGTTAGAGTTAGGAATGAACTAGAAAAGGAATCCAGCAAGCGAAGACATACTACTTCCTAGAAGAAGAACTATAAAGTAAGTTGAGAAAAAAAGAAAAATTTCATTCCTATAACCAAATGTCAAGATATAATTGTTGGAAACTTCTCTGTACAAATATTTCTTAACTTAAGCTAGAAGATGATCAACCCTGTCAATCTAAACCGAGGTAGAGAACAAGCAACATTTCTAAGTACCAGCTATAGATCATCCCAATAAGTTCTAAAACTTCAAATTCTTGGCTGTTTTATTTTCAAGTACTGAATCTTATTATCTACAGGAGACTGGTTAACATAATAGAAAAATGTTGAGATTTTCTTACATGTACCCTCAAATTTTAGGATTAATTTTATGCTGCTAATTTATCAAAGTACCACAGAATTAAGGTAAAGTTAGCAAAATAAAAGTTAGTGATTAATATTGATTCTAATAGTGTGATAAAGGTTGTGGCCCTCTTCCTAGGGCCAGCAACACTAATAACTCCTGAGAGCTGGTCAGAACCACAGAACATCAGGCTCCATTTCAATCTACTGATGAAGATCTGCAGTTTAATAAGATTCACAGGCAATCTTAAAGAATAAGTAGTACTGCCTTAGAGACTATTTTGAGACTTGCTCAACTGTTTTTTTTTTAAAGGGTGAAAAATTTCTGAATTATAAACACTACACACTTCAGTCTGAATGGCAATTATCAAGAATACGGGCAACAATAAATGTTGGCAAGGATGTGGGGAAAAAGGTATACTCATACATTGCTGGTGGGACTGAAAATTAGTACAACCACTATGGAAAGCAGTATGGAGGAGATTCCTCAGAAAACTTGGAATGGAACCACCATTTGACCCAGATATCCCACTCCTCAGTTTATACCCAAAGGACTTAAAATCAGCATACTACACTAATGCAGCCTCATCAATGTTTACAGCAGCTCAATTCACAATAGCTAAACTATGGAACCAACATAGGTGTCCCCCAAATGATGAATGGATAAAGAAAATGTAGTATATATATTCAATGGAACATTACTCAGCTTTAAAAAAGAATGAAATTATGGCATTTGCCAGTAAATGGATGGAGTTCGAGAATATCACACTAAGTGAAATAAGCCAATCCCAAAAAGCCAAAGGCTGAATGTTTTTTCTAATACGCAGATGCTAATTCACTTAAAAAAGAGGAACAGACAGGGCACTACAGAAGAATAGTTACCTT